GCAAACAAGAATCAAAGTGAGATAGAACAATCCCATGTCTGCTGGGATATGCTCCAGCATTTTACCTCTACCATTCATGTTCTGTCATGGTTTGGGGTACGCATACCTGACCTAGCTTTAATCTCATCACTCAAATATCCTCCCACTTTGCTTTTCTGCCAAGGACATCCAAGATAGCTGTGGCAATGCTCAAAGTATGTTTACTTATGCACCTCCCTGAGGCATGGAAATATGGCCATGAACATTTCTTCTGATCGCTGATGTGTGTGAACTCACCTATCCAGTACCCAAAGTCAGGCAGGAAGGCACAGAAATCTTTCTTTACTCACATTTACTATCAATTACATCACCTGATTTTCACCCCTCTGCTCAACAGGCTGAACTCCAGCTCTCGCAATTCAAAATATTTTAAAAAAGGTATTTATTTCATAGAATCACAGAATAATAGAATAGTTTGGATTGAAAGGGACCTTTGAAGGTCATCTAGTCCAATTCTCCTGCATTGAGCAGGGACACCTTCAACTATACCCTGTTGCTCAGAGCCTCATCTGACCTGAACTTGAACACTTCCAGGGATACATTAAATTATGTTTACAGTGACCTAGACAGGCCCATATTGTCTTCCTACACAACATCCCAGATTCCTACCACTTCCTTACACCTACTTGCACAGGAGCCAGTTCTGCACCAGGGATATTGGGCCTCACCACATCCCCCTCTGCAGGGCCAACCAGCCCAGCTCTGGCTGCTGTTCAGACCTTCACAGACTGGGCAGAACTTGCCTACATCTGCCTGTAAGAACAGAACAGAGATAGGCTCCAATTTATCTTTCAGAGAACAGCACAGCCTCTACAGAAAGAGAGATCTGACATAGCCTTCTGGCCTGTCGAGATAAATAATGAACAACCAAACAGTTAAAATCAAAATACTTGTTTTCTCATACTTTTTGTTCCTGCACATAGTGCAGCAACAGAAGCAAATTCAAAACCCAGGCAAGAGAGACACTACCAACAGTACTGATAGAAAATGCAGGGTTTGCATGTTTCCAGTAATAAAACCTTTCTTCATGCTTTTTTTTTTTTTTTTTTTTTTTTTTTTTATGCACAACACAATAGTATTGGAAACCTTGGTAGGTATGTCAGTTACTATAGGCCATCACATTCTATCTTATTCTTTCTGAACCCTACCCAGTTGTTTTGGTATTTATCTGCCTTGAACACGAGGCACTAAGGGTATAATCTAACAGCTGACAGGAGCAAGCACTGTTGTAAGGGGTGGCTGCTGCATTCTCCTCCCCCATCAAAACCCCGATGATTAAACAGACAGGTAAAAATTGGGCCCACAATACTGTCAAAGCCTGACACATTCCTGGAAGACTCTTTTTTTATCCTACTGAACTATTTTTTATTCTTATTGAACTTGAACTTGGCAACCAATGTCTTCTGCACACAGCAACTGGAGATGCAGGGCTATGAATTGAATTACCTTTGGTTTTGAAAAGTCATTTTCCCACCACATCTCCAGCTCAGCTCTGGTGGCAAGTTCTGCAAATGTTCTAATGTTACCAAATGCAAAAGCTCAGTTTCTAGCAGTTCAGAACAATCCATCTTCCTTATCCCCACCAGTCCTGTAAAACCAACCAGCACAACTCTTTCTCATTTTGGCAGCTTGGGAGTATCTAATTTCTCAGAAAGAAAACAGGTCACTTGTCTAGTATGCCTGTATTTTTGTCATGACCTGCCATGGCTGTCTCTTACCAGAATGCTGAAGTAAAAGTCAGCACTTCAGCTGAAGATGTATCTCGTTCTGCAGAAAACACAACAGTCCTTTTTACTGTATTCTGAAGATGCACCTTAAGAGTTAAAAACAGCACATGCTTCTAAATGAGATTAAAACCAGCATGGAAAATTGTATTTAGTCTGGTTCCTGTCTCTTTTCCTTTTCTCAAAACCCTTTCTCAGCCCCTCTTTGTTTTTTTTGTACTGACTCAACATGCAGAGCAGTGGGTAACTCCCAGCCCTTTCTATGGAGTCCCGCCCACATTTGCAGAAGCGGGGAAAAAAAGGAAAAACAGCAGAAAAATAAAACAAAACTCTAAAAAGAAAACCAAATTCCGTAAAATAATTGCCGTATTTACTGAGCCTGACATTGACACCTTCTGCAGAATAGAGAGCTATTCCCCCGTAGGGAGCAAGTGGGGCAAGCTCCCTTCCCCCACGAGGTTGAACCCGGGGAGGGGGGAAGTGGGAGAAATAAGACTTTTAGCAGCCTTTCCTACCACCATCCCAGCCTATTCAGAGACTCCCACTGCTCAGCAGAAATCCACGTGCTCCAGAGCGGAGGAGTGGAGCTCGCAGGCAGCTGCTCTCCCGAGCATCGCCCGCAGCTGCTGGCAGGGATGGATATCCCCGGTGGGGCCAGGGCTGCGCCGGGGTCAGAGCCCTGCCAGCACGGCACTGCCAGCAGCAGGGCAGCGAAGAGCTGCCAGCTCTCCATCTCCTCCTTTCCTGCAGAAACAGTATCCTTGTCCTCTTGCTTAGAGCTCTCTGCGACCTGTGGGGATGGCTGCCTGCACCCCCACTAATCCAAATGGTGTGTGAAAAGACCATGGGGAGGGCAGAGAGGGTCTCCGTATTTGGCTTCAGTCTTTGCAGGGGTTATGACCACGGGAGGCATTTTCTAACCCTGACAAGGAAGTTTCAGTATGAATTTGGTTTCGTCAGCCCGCAGCTTCCAGGGAAGAAAGCTGACTCAGAGGTGCCGATACTTTCAACACTCAGCTCTCTCCAATGAAACACAGCAATGCTAAGTCTCTAGCTCTGACACTTGGAATGAACATGGCTTCAAATATAATCTAATAACTACTAATACAACACTATTGGAGAGTTTTTACCGAAGAACTGAGATTTCCAGCAGCAGGGCTTTTTTTTTGCATGGTGATATTTAGACCTCAAGACAGATTTACCAAAATCAAGAGGTTAAAGAAACTGCTCGTTTGATTTATATTAAAGTAGTGGTCCCGCTTGTCATGAATTAGAGCATCCTTAAATTAAACCTTCAGGTAATCTCTGCCTTAACCTTTCTGACCCAGGAGAGGAGTAAGGAATCTGTACTGAGGTCAAACAGATCTGTCATGCAACCAGTTACATGTTCATGTACCCTAGTACAGAGAAATTTGTCTGCATCATACCTTATGAGTACTAGAGTGGGAACATATTTTGTATTTCACACAAAACACAGAGGAAGCAGTACTCTGTACAACAGCTGTTCTCCCCATTCAAAGGCAAACCACACTGAATGATCTCAGACAGGAATTTGAAGACTTCAGTGGACTAGAAAGGGCAGATGGGATCTAGTCTATAAACCAATTGTCAGGACAGGATCTCAGTTTTATGATTCATCTAAAAATATTGCACGCAGCTCAAAGACAATAACCTGGACCTAGTTTAACATTGGTTTGCATTACACAAGTAATTAGAAAACATTCTTAACATGCACCTAGATTTTAAGCTCTATTTGTATAACCACTTAAGGATGCAAACATTACCCAAGCCTTGGCAAAGGGAGTTTCTGGTCTGCCATTGTTCCTAAGTTTGTAAAAATCAACTAATGCACAGCAATAAATGTGCAGGGGAAAAAATGAAGGTGGTAATTGCTTTATGACTGTTTTAGCAACTTTCATGCATTAAAATAAAAGGAGATTTTTATTCCTTTGGGTATTGTGAGGTGCACAGTGGAGTATCTCTATTGCTTTTGCCCAATGTGGTTTGCTAATGTAATGTATAGGCACTACACTGATTTGGTATTTGTACTTTTTAGTATGGGAAGTGCTGAGCTTGGTATTTCACAGCAACTACACTTTATCCCAATCTAGCACCCAGGATATGAGGCCAAACCCACCCATTGGCAGCTGGACTTTGCAAAAAAAAAAAAAAGCAGGTGGTTTGTCTGAACTGGGTGTCATACCAGTAAGCCCTTTACAGTCACATTTGCAGACAGCTCTGATCTCATCAAGCAAGCTGACCTTTAAAAATAAAGAAAAAGGGAAAAACCCAAAACACCCATGCTGAGGCCCTTTAAAGTGTTACTCACACAAAGATTTTCCTTAAGTTTCTCTGAAGAGAAGTTTTGAGTTAATCAAGCACTAAGTTTTGCTGATCATGTCCCCGTATGTGCTGTTCACACACAGGACAGAGACACAACATGCCACCAGGCTCTGATTTGTCACAGCAACAATACCCTAAGAACAAGAACAAACAGTCCCATCCAGTTTCACATCTGTTTCAGAAATTCAGGACAGTTTTTCACTCATGGCCTTAGCAGGACAAAGATGGAGAAAATCCAGGGCACTCAGCACTCTCTTCTTAAGGTCTCTGGCTCCTTGGCAACTTTGGAGAAGTCTCTCCAGCCTAAACTGAGCAGGGCACACAGACAGCCAGCAGCAGTGGGGAAAGAACCAACAGCACAGGCAGCAGCAGCAGGAAAAGGCTTAAAGAAAACGTGCACAGCTGGGGAGAGACTTAGGAGCTGATCAAGTCTGTTCTCAGTTAAATGGTAACCAAATCTTACATTTAAATCCTTCCGACAGAAAGGTGATAAAGCTTAACCCCCTCGAAGCATCCTGCTGCTTTTCTGCAAGGCTAGTAAGTTTTGTCAGACAGCAAGACACAAAATAACTTTAAAGCTACAGGATTCCTAGTAATTTTTTACAGCAAAGCAAAAGTACTTTAGGTTACAAAATACAAACTTTACAAAGTTGTACATGAAATACAACTACCTCTACACCGTGCAGGCTAAGGAGGGGGGGTAGCTTTTCTTTTCGTTTTTTTCAATCCAACCCTTTGTCAGAGAGAAAGCTCCTCCCAGGCTGTACCATGCACAAATGAAAGCAGCCTTCTCCGAGGAAAGCCACTGAACGCTTTAGCAACGCTTTCCAAGCACAAAACCAGGCACGGACTTTGTGCGAACACACAGCCACCTGCACAAAGGCATTTGCTCACCTGATTTCCCCATGACCAAGTGGGTTTCTTTTTTTTTTTTTTCTTTCTTTCTTTCTTTTTTTTTTTTTTTAATTTCACCTGCTTCCTCCTCTCTTGACTGAGTTTTGCCGCTCAGTGCCGGGATGAAGTGTTCGCAGTTTCAGCTCAACTTCTTCATTCGCCTGCGACCGCTGCTGGAAAAAAAAAAACTCGCCACCGCCCCTTCTTGAGCGCTGGAATAAGCCTGCCCATGCCTTTATAAGGCATAGGGACACCGCTCTTTTTTCATGAAAAGATCCGGGTTAGGGTCAGGAGCTATTTATCCTCCGCAGTAACCAAGCAGCTCCAAAACAACATATGTTTTCACATACCATTTTAGGTTAGTAATCGCATCTGTCTTCTGATAAGAGTAGGCTGTGAGAAGAAATTCTGCTGACAAATAGTTCTGCTGCCACAGTGGGCATAGCCCACGGAACTAATTCATACAACTAAATGCTGTTGAAGTTTTACCCACTTGCTGTACGTAAAGTTGTAACAGAAACGTGATAAAGCGCTTTGAAGTATAACTACATTTCTATGTCTAAAATGAATCACTTCCTGCCCTGTTACAACATAATCTGTAGAAGGTATTAGTAAAATAAGATTTTGCAGGTTAAAGAGAAACGGTGCTGATGGTGTGTTTCTGTGAAAAGCATTGGACGTGAGTACATCTCATTTCATCCGTGTAAGCACGCTGAGCCACTGTTATCTTCACATTACATCAAAATGCCTCAAGCCAATCTGGCAAATATTAACCACTTTAACTACAGTGAACATGATACTTTGATTTAACTTCATAAGTGCTGCATATCTACAAACACTAATTCAGTTATGTGTCTCCAACTTTCATCTTCTCATCATCACAAAAATCATCTGAGGTTAACGCTTCCCAATTTTTTACAATGCCTTTCAATATGTCAAGGTTCTTCTTGGTTTTGTGCCAAGTCTGCTGGCTCATCAGGATTTAATTATCCTTTGTCCACCTCTGCAGGCTTGGCTCCATGGTAAGTAAAGGAAAATGAAAAGATGCAAGGGTTAGGTTTTTTTCTTCTTATGCAAGTAGCAGCAGCAGGTGAGGAAAGGCAACATCCCTTCACCAACACACTGCTCCTCCTGTGGTGGTTCCACTGGCAGGAGTGAAACACGGGTTGAGAGAGTGTCACTGACAGCTCATGGGTTCACTGAGAAGAGGCATGAGGACAAATGATCACCACCCAGAGGAGGAAACCACAGGGTGTGAGACCACGGTCATCTTCACAGCTGCCTGATATTTTCCTTTGCTGGCAGCAAGGCAGGCAGCAGAACAGGAGAAGGAAGTCAGAGAAGGTGCAGAAGGAAATCTCTTCCTGGTCTCTCTGCTGCAAGTGGCAGTAGTTGGCTGAGGAGGAGGGTGGAGAGCTGGAGTTGGTACTATCAGAGCCCTATCAGGAAAAAGTTGCTGTTTCACTTGCTTGCAAGAGTGAGCAACCCATGGACCAGTCTGAATGAATCAGATCCCTGGTCTCTGAAAATGCTCTGCTAAATTTAAAATACTGGGCTGTACTACTCCTAGGACATACATCAATACTCAGCAATAGCCAGTGCCGTCCTATGGCCTTGACAAGGAGTAAAAGGGATTTTATATTTGTATAGCTGAGAGTCTCTGGTATTTGAAATGGTCACTTATATTCTCATACTTGATTGTTATATTTTATACAGTTTATGTTTTTGATCTTTATAAAATATATAATGAATTATAAAGCAATACCACTTCAGGACCTGGACTGCTAGTAGAAAACAGCACCAAGCATTTTCAAAAGTGACCAGATATACCTGCATGCCATATCCTGTGAAATCACAGCTTAGAAAAGAGGGTTTCTCTGATCTGACAGAAATCCAGTGATATCTACAGGGGAAAAAAAATTTTGGATCAGAAAACAAGGAAACCAAAATCAATGCTCCAGCCTGAAACGTAAAAGTATCAGTACAAAGTAAATGCAATGACTCATCAAAGACTGGAAAGCAGTGTAAGCTGAGACATACAAAAGCAAAGAGGAAGGAGGGAGCTGAGCTCTTTTATTATTTTAACATCACCTGAAAGTTCCACACTAAAGAATATTACTAAAGAATATTATGAGATGGAAATTTAGAGGCGGTATGTACACTAATAATTAAGAATTCAAACAAGCCTTTGAAAATAATAGGAGTGATTAAATAAAAGCCACTGCTAGTGATAATTTTCAAGCTGTAAACCATTAATATCCTCTTACCAGTTTCAGGCAAATGTAAATGGTAACAAACAGGATTTTCCATTTCCTTTATGATGTGTCAAAGCACCTCCAAAACATGATTCTTTTACACAGAGAAAATATTAGGATGACATGGGTATTACCTAATAGTAGACATTGGAAACTACATTACAGCTACAGAAATGCCCTGTGCAGAGGAGTTGCCTCCTATGGCCACATCTACTCAATGTTTCTGGAAAAAAGAGCAAAAAAAGGTACAATGTGGACTGACTAATTTTTAATTGTTTCATGTTCCTGTTAAAAGGAAAGCAGAACAGAAACAACTGGCTAAGAAAAGTAACACTTACCTAGTAAAGACTGGTGTAATAGATGTTCTTTCTGGAAATAGGCTATAGAGCACATGAGAAGGAAAAATGGAATTTGAAAGGAAGTGCATGAATCATTACAATCAGGAAGTTAGTGATAACTCATTTGCCGTAGAGCTATTTCATCTATATCCTGAAAATCTGTGGCTAAAATTTTAGTGTCAAACTAACTGGGCCATTCAGAGAACAAAACATTCTACATTCTATTCCATCTTCCCTTTGCTCCTAACAAAGCAAATCCGTTTCACCTGCCCACATCAGACACTTCTCTTTACCTTGATATGACTGACCCTAATGCACAGAGTCTCATAACCTCCTCTGGTGCCACCAGGTATTTCCCTTCTTTGCTTTCTTGCCTCTTCTGGAAGCTTTTGGTGCCCCAGCTTGCCCCATGTGACCTGTTGCTTGCATTGTGACCAGCCCTGGGTAGCCACAGGCACTCCTGTGGTGCCCCACATGTTGCCCTATGGCTGTGGACCTGGCAAAGCCAGTGCTGGCAGTGTGGATTTCTGGGCTCAGCTGGGATTGTGCTGTTGCTGCTGCTGCTGCTGCCTGCTGTCTCATCCAGCTTGGTCTTCACAGCCATGTGCTGACAGCCTTCAATATTCCTCCAGGACCCTCCACCAGGCAGCCATATATGGCTAAATCTGTAGAAAGTCAGGATTAAACAGATGTCTTTTTGATAGAGCAAGGAGCCCCAGGCAGATCCCAGGTTACCTATTGTCTTCCCAGAGGTCTGCCTGCACACAGCTAAATACCCCCTTCCATCTGGCAAGGGCAGCCCCCCAAGCAGGGCTCCACAGCAGCTGTGTGCCTGCTGTGAGGGCCCCGGTAGCATCATGGATTTCAGCCTGCACACTTCTGTTCTAGCAGCAGTGCAAGTAAGGAAGCAGCAGCCAGCCAGCTGTGCGGATCCCCAACTGCTGGCAGGCAGGTACAGACACATAGAAGGAAGCCTGAGATGAACCTTCCCATATGTGCACGCTCTGATGGGTTCAGTTGATACAAATGTCTGTCATCATCAATGTTTTGAGTCATTAGTTCATTCCATCAGTTGGCATTTATCAGGTACAATTAGGTATCCACACAGACTGGAACAGACTTTTGACAACACTGTCACACACCAGCCCTGCCAGGGAGGTGTGGATGCATCCCATCCTGCTTTTAAATACAACACCGAGCAGTTTCTCCACAAGTCAAACCATGCAGACAATAAATTTGTGAGCAATTCTAAATGTAACAAATCTGTTTTCCCCAGACACCCTTAACAAATTACATTAAGAACCAACAGTATTTATATGATTACAAAAACATCACACAGGAATAACATCACGTATAGTTACAAGAATCAAGAGCAAACTGAAAAATTATGCACAAAGCTGTATCAGGCAGCAAGAAAACTGCTTATTTTAAAAAATATAAAAGGGAAATGGGGCAAAAAATGATGGTAGAATATTTGAGAATATTCTTCCTCTTGCACTTATGCCAGGCTTTGCTTCTGGGCTCTATTGCCATTTCACCTGTGAATTAAGCCATGTTGTGTAGCAGATCAAAAAAAATCAACTTGAACACAGTTGGAGATGTTCATTTTTTTTGCAAGTTTGACCATAATACTCAGTTGCTGAAGAAAATGAAACTAACTGAGCTGGAAAGAGGAAGAGTGCAAAAGCAAGGCTATACCTCTTTTCTAAGCACTACGCTGTTATCAGATGGGCACATCCACAAAACTCTCACACAGAAAACAGCAGACTGTGACTGCAGAATAGTCATTCACTTCAACTTCTTCCTACACACTGCAAGATAAAAGTAGCGCGTGATTAATCATCATCATCATAGAATTACAAAATGGTTTGGGTTGGAAGGGACCTTAAAGATCACCTAGTTCCAATCCCCCTTACACTGTGGGGGTTGGAATCAACAATGGTCTCAAGGGCTGGGTTCCAAGCAAAGGTTTGGGGAACAAAAATGTGTGAGTACTGCTGCCCAATGGAGTGTAGCACAAGCACTGCCATTCTCTCGAGAGGCCCAGCTGAGATTCTCCAGAATCATCTAAATGAGAGCAACAGCACACTGATCTCACCAGAGCAAGGCAGTGAAGTGCCCACTTCGGACTTGGGATGTACCTCAACATGGCTCAATCTACAGGGGTTCTCACTTCACAAAACAATAAGAATAAACCTCTCAGCATGGTTACTCTCAACTAGGTCGAAGCAGGAGAATCCATAGGAAATCCCACTTCCCACCTGTCCAGATGATCGTAGTGCTTCCCCTCCACCCTACCAGGGAGTAAAGGGGCTCTGTAAGAGGAAGCTCAGTCTCAGGATACAGAGGAGTTAAGGGAAAGAGGGGGAGAAGAAGGTACCATGGACAGACTTGACACGAAGAAGTATTTGGGAGCACTGAAAAGAGAGTTTTTGTCATTTCCTCAAAGTGTTACCTCTCTCCTCCAAGGCTGCAGTGGGCTGAACAGTATCTGGAGCATGCTTCATGGGCTCTCTGCTTCAGCACAGCACCTCAGGTTGAGTTTAAACACCATTTTACCAGGACCACTGTTCTGTAGCAATGATAAGAAAAGGCAAATGACAGTCCAGATGAGCACAAATACACAAAGGGGTCAGACAACTAGGCCAGTTGCTGACTTCCAGTAGTGGTGTCTCCACACAAACACACTGACCAATGCAGCACCTGTATTTTGCCTTCTTGTGCATTGCCCCACAATCTACTACTTTTCATATCTGATCCACATAACATTTGTTTTAGGAAAACCTCATCCTACTGACTGGAAGAAGCTCCTGCTTAACAGCTACAGATTTAGCTATTACATTAAAATATCCTTGTAAATGAACCACATTATGAGTCAGAAAGTAAATTTGAGCAGTTACTCATAAATGAGATCACACAACTCTGATAGGTCCTGGAAACCATCAGTTTAAACATTCAGAACAAGACAAGAAAGCACAACTGATATAGGGAAATCATTAGAGAAGAAACAAGGAAAAGACAAGTTGTGGTACTGTTTAAACCTCTGATTTCCTTCTGCCTTAAATTACATGGGTAGTCTTAGTTTTCTGATCTCAAATAGGATACAGCATTAGTGGGAAAAGATCAGGAAAAGGCAGTAAGGACATGGAAGCTTCATACACAAAATAACAGGGCTTTAAGCAATCTGTTCTAGAGGAAAGTATCCCTGCCCATTATGAGGGGTGGAACCAAATGATCTTTAAGGTCCCTTCAAATCCAGGCCATTCCATGATTCTTCAGCCAATGGAAGAGATCATAGAAAAGGAAATAACTGACATTGCTACAAGAGGATGTGCAACACAGATGGCTCATGACTGTTGATTGTGTCGTCCAATACAAGAATTAGAGGATATTAAAAGAAACTTGTGGGAATGGGGTTCAAAAATATGAATGTGGGATGCAACAGATCCCCTTTGGCAAGGAGATTTTCTTTTGTGCACACTGGCTCTTGTCCTACCAGTGAGCACTGCTGAGAAGTGCTTGTCTCCCTCTCCTCCACTCCCTCCCTTCAGGTATTTATACAGATTGATGAGATCACCCCCGAGTCCTCTTCAGGATGAACCACCCCAGTTCTCTCAGACACTCCTCACAGGAGATGTTGCATAGATCTTCTAACTGAACTTACTCCAGTTAGAAGGTCTGTGCCCACCCTTCCATCATCTCCTCTCCAGCAGCTGTCCTACCTGACATTTACATCAGGCTTTTCACAATTCTCACAATGTCCATATTCAAACCATGCCCTCTGCATGCATCCCAGACTTTGGTTCAGTCTTTTTACCCCTGCAGAGTGCTGTCTGCCACCATGGGGCTATGACTGAGCTAGCAAGTACTTCAGCACAGTAGTTCAGGCTGATTTGTAGCTTAATGTTTCATTGAGTTTCATCTTGGCCTAAAATTAGTGCATGGCCAGCAGCATGCATTGAATACCCAATAACAGTTGCAATAAGTCAGCTAAACTCCTGAGAAAGTCTCTGGCTGCATTCAATCCCAAAAGAACCCATTTTACACACAGAGGCAGTCCCATAGTGCAAACTAATGAGAGACAGAATGCTATTCAAGATGGGCACTGGTATCTCCTATAACCCTGCTTTCACTCACCTCCTTCTATTATTGACTCTGCGTGCTCATAATTTCATCCAATTCACTTAGCAGAATCTTGACTTATCTCTGCTACATGCAATGAGTTTGCAATGGCACTGCTCATCTACCTTGTTAGCTAACAATACCATACTTGATTTTCCTTAGGCAAGATTCCTCGGGCATTACTGCTTTGTGTTGTCCTTCAACTACAGAAACACAATTAAATTCAGAAGTCAAGCTAATAAATCCAGAAAGAAAATACAATTTTTGTTCTATTATATTGTTTAGTATTTTTCCTCTCAAATACTTTTTTGCTTAATAATACACTGGATTTTAGATGCAACAGGCACACTTCCACAAAAGATCCCAGCAACCTCTGACACCAAAAACAAGGGCACTGATTATCACTAGCAGACAAACCATCACATTTTAATTGATGAAATATTGCTGGAAGCAGGCATCTGAGCAGGACACACAGACATCTCTGTAATGACAAGAAGGTTATTCCCAATACCATATTTCTTTCCTGTTCTTCTTTCCCTCTGTGATTCCATGCAAATTGCAAAGCCATCCCTGTAGAGAAAAGGGCTAATCAAAGACACATGAAGGAAACAGATGTTAATTCCAAAGCAGCATCTCCCCAGCTGTACACGAGGACACACTGCCAGGGTAAGTGCTTTGTTTGCCTTCTCAGGGGGATAGCTGGGAGTAGAGGAGTGTCACCCCTCACCCTTGTGCCAGGACATCAGTGCTGGGGCTGGACTGTCTGGCTTGGCAGGACTGATTTTTAGCCAGAACAGTCCAATGACCTGGCTAGCTACCTGCAAGTCCTACTGCTTTTGAAAAAGAGGCAGTAACCAGAGACAGTAACAGCAGCCTGGTCCAGACACACACACTAGAACTGGCCCACAGTTCTAGTACACTTACAGCCTCTCCTAAAACTATTACTTGGGAAAAGTGCACACTGAAGGGGAAAAAAAAAGCTCCTGAACTGTGAAAAAACAACAACATCACATATATACATCATGTCTATTGTGCATCTCCATTTTTACCTGCCAGTTGAGGGATCTTGCCCTCATCTGTTGATGCTGCTCACAGCTCTGTCACCACAATTTCACACCTTGGCACATGTCCTGGCTTACCTCCTGGCTATGCTATTTTCTGCCTTTTCCCCTCCTGCATAAAGCTCTTACTATTTCTTTTTTCCCGTTTTTTTTTTTTTTTTAGTTTTTATTTTATGAATCAATCAGAACCAGCTTTATTGCCAGTCTGCAGTTCTCAGGTGCTTCTGTCATATTTAGTGCCAGCCTCAGTTTTAATGTCCTAGAATGGTGGAAATTTCTGCTTTTGCTTTTTCTTGAAGGTTGCTTTTCTAGACCTCTTGCTTGTAAAGAAACTCCTGACAGTGTCACCTGTAAGGAACAGATGGCAATTAATTTATTTTAAAATAATATAGGCATTGAGCTATTTTCATGAAACCTACAGCTTCTGAAACAGTGGGAGATAAGGAATTGAATCTTCCTTTCATTGAATGCACTTTCCCTCCATGAATTCTGTCCCTTTGTCTTGTCACTCTGAACCTCTGATTAAATCCTTGCTAACATTCAGTTAATTTTCTTAGGTCTGTCAGCACATTCATATGTCTGTATTTTCAATATACTTTTAAAATATAATATTTAAGATCCCATATAGATTGCAAATTGGAATGATTATTAATGCAATTTTAATATAATTTTATCACTTTAATAGCCCACCAAAGAACGTACAGACATTATTAAAGCTGACAAAAATGAAATATCGTTTTGACTCTTCCATGTGTGTTTTAGACAGGATATTTTCATTTATCTACCATATCCTTTAGTCTGACATAATTTCAAAGGCATTATTTCAATCTTTCCCTTTCACAGTTTGTATCTATAGGCGATTGCACTCCATCTCCCTGGCATTGTTCTGTACTGTCCATGAACAACACTTTCTGTCCCCCTTTTTTCTGTTTTGCTTGTTCCTTAGCACTTTTAAGACATCATGAACCATTCACATACCCCTTGCATTTTTTCAAAATCAAAAAAATGGCCAGCATTGAAAGAGTTTGTGAGTAGATAACAACAAGCATGAAAGCCAAGGAAACTCCCAAAATCTCTGAGATCAGCTGGAGTCTGTAATGCCATCTTTAGGTTGTACTACCACCCATCGGCTTGAAGTAGAATCAACAAAAGCAGCTGAGTGGACTAAGCCTCTGCTCTGCTGCTGCAGCACAGCCTGCCACAGCAGCTCAGCTCCTACAGGGATGGGAATCCCAGCAGCTGGAAACTCCTCATCCTTGATGGATTTGGCTACAGTGGCTAGAAAAATACCAATTCCTCCCATGGTCCTCTTTGACCATAGCTGTATCTGACAGGGATTTTGGCTTTTCAAGAATTTTCTTGGTAGCTGGCTCAAGAACAATTTCTTTTCTACAAAAAGTAAGGTGATTTTAAAAAAGTAATCACTTAAGAAACATTTTCCTTTTATTTTTTTTTTTAACGGGTGCATTATTTACCAATTCCAAATTTAAAGTTATTTTCACAGATGAAGGTGCAAGCTATCTTCCTTCTCATTCTGTGAGGTCTTTCACTCAGGATCACTCTTTACAGCTTTAGCTTGTTAGTTAATTCTTAGTGTTGTAGATAAAACTACTTAACCCTGAAGGTTATTGTCAGCAGAAGTAATGAAATGCCACAGGTTTTTATGTCAATGTAATCCAGTGCATCTTTAAGTAATTTATCTTATTTGATCAGATAAATAATCAAACCTGTTTCTTTTCATTTCAGTCATCTGCATACTTCTGTAATTTCTTTGGGCTTTACTGCAGTTGCAGCACTGCTTGATTGGAACAAAATCTGCTGGTCCAAAATACAAATGTCAATCTTTATGTGCTGACTTCAGGCATAGTTTATCATTTAACTAAATATCTATGTAAGGGAGATAATGCTGATTTTTGTCTGGGAGCTATGAAAAGTGTAGGCCTCTAACATACAGTCCAACCTGACTGTGATATAACCTCACTGTGAATATCTTGTGAATACAGCTTCTGTGACATATTGACATACACTGTACAGCAAACAGATAATTTTTAGAAAGCTGCATTCTTAGTTTCAATTAGCATTAGGCAAATGCTAATTAACATTTGCCTAAAATGTACACAAGAATATAAAATCGTTTAGTGTAACTTTTGCTAGGATTGCTTTAAAATGTTTGCTTAATGACATAGAAGAAAAGTAAGATGTGTATGTAGACTCCTTTGTTGATACTAAACATTAGCTCATTTCATGTGCCTGATACCCAACCTTTAGCACCTCAGTACAGTAACCACATCTTGCTTTACACCATTTCTATATGAAGAGCTCCATGTTAAAAACAGGTGATGTAGCCCCATAGTTACTGGCTTGTATCTTGGAACTCAGGCAAGAGGACAAACACTGGTGTAGGGAAAGATGCAAGGAGAGCCTTCTGGGACTGTGAACATTGGTAACAGTGGATTTTGAGATTCAGGTTTTGTTTACTGCTGGCAAACCCAATAAACATTGAAGCTAATTCACAGTATAGTTATTACTGGTTTTAAACTAACAGAAGGTAACAGCAGACAGAATAAAGGAATATTCTGAGTATTTCTTTACTTAGTGTGAGCACTTGGGATGTTTTTTACGCTCCTCCTGTGAGGTGAGACTGACCATGAATAAGGAGACAGCCAAGGTGCAAACCAACAGCAGAGTGCATTTTGTCAGTATTATGAGAATGTCTTAATTTCATAACCATGAGCTTAATTTCATAACAGATGAACTGTGACCTTGGTATTTTGTACCATGTATTTTTAAAAGCCAAAATTAATTTATTGTCTTTTATAGCATTTCCTTAACAAATTTTCCATGTATTGTCCATTATTTTCAGAAATAAAAATATTTTAGAGAATTTCCAACATAGCCTTATACTAATTATAGTAACTGTCTGATTTTTGTTTGTGGTGTGCCTTGAAGATACAGCTCTTCTTTTTCTATACAACAGTTCAACAAAAATGCCCACTTCAGGATATATGAATTTTCACTATTATTAATATGAATAATAGTGTCTGGAAAATATTCAGCTGTATAAACTTACTGAAATCTTTATTACTATTTCAAACATCATCTATTTAAAAGAAACTGCATTTTGGCTCCACACCGCAGAGGACAAAGTTATTTGAGAAGGTGATTAATTTAATTAGAAAGTTGCTCTAAAGATTTTTTTTCATATCAGTGTTAGTATGTTTAAAAGTACTTGACTGTAGCCTTCTGTTGCTACACTAAGTTTGTAATTTTGTTAGATCTCACTGAGAGGGATAAACCTTCAAGCATTATTTATGCATACACTGAAAGGCACCACGCCTTTTAGAAATGCAACATTTGCTCCAGTGGAACATCTGAATAATGAATTATTTATGAAACAAGGAGGATGGGAGGGGAGCCCTTCTTCAAAGTCATGCCTGTTTCTTTCTGCATGTTTATGTGATTATTTTTCTATGTTAAAATTCAGGTAGGTTTGACATCAGCACTGCTTTTGGAGTCCACTAACTTTGACTTGAAAATCTTTGTTTTAATTTTTAATAAATGTTGCTTCAGATACTGAAGATGTTTAGAACCCAATCCCTGCTGGTCTTTGGAGACAGGATCTATTAATATGTAATCTCTGCTCTGCAACTTCATACCTGTTTTGTGCGTGCAACATGAAATCTAGGGAAATATTGTTTCTCTAAAGCATTCCTCCCAAACTTAAATTTTGAGTATTCTAATGATTTATACTGGCAATAAAGGAGCAGAGGTACAACTTTTTCAGAGGATCACATCAATTTGTGATTAACACCTTCTAGGTGGGTAACTATTGTCCAGTGAAATGCAAGACGACAACAGGGGTTAGCCAGCTGTTAGTTTATTGATAATATAAATTGCAATCAGTATGGGAAGCCTCAGTATCCACAGAGAGTTGTGAAGGAAAAGCAATCTGCTCATGTACCTGATGGAGGTTCAGTCCAGGGCCATACCTCCCTCAACTTAGATACTTGTTCTTTTTGACAGAAGGTTTTATACATCTATGTCTCTCTCTATAAACATAAATCTATTTCATGCCCACCTGGTTACACATCAAACAATACAATGATGCAATAATTAAAAGCTTGGGTCACTCTGACCTGAGAATCATCAGTGGGGCAGGATGTTTGCTTTGTGAACTGGGACTAAATCTCATGGATTGAGCCATGTCCTTGATTCCTGGATGACCTTCCACGTCCTGCCCTTGCAACAAGTACATTCCAATGTGGTGCATTGCTCTGTACAAACTGCAGGGACCAGGCTTAAAACCTTGGAATAGATGTGAAACCTTATGCATAGTTTTTCTTTCACCTCAATCAGCACATTATGAAAAAGGACAGATAAACTCCCATCCTTGTAGTAGAACTATTTACACATGCAGCAGCACAGATATTTACGTGTTAAAAAACTTATATACAATAGTATGTTTCCTATTATTTCCATATTAAAAAGAAATGTAATGCAAAAATATTCTTAAATTTCTTCCCCAAAGTAATCTGAAAACTTACATGGTGTTTTAGGAAGGCTTTTGAAATAACGTGCACAAAGATTACCTGAAAATATTGCCTCAAGGAAGACAATGAGAATCAGAATGGCAATATGCCATCAGTAGTGCTTAGAAAATGCAGCTGTTCTGAGGTTGGTATTCCTTTCGTTCACCTGGCTCTATTCTGGCTGATTCATATCAATACCAAAGCAAAACCATCAATAAGGTGCTTCATTAAGACACGGAAAATAGTCTTCTGTCTTGAAGAGGACTGGAGGTTCATAGAGGGTCTGCTGCTGTCGTGAGGAAGACGATTTCTGCAAATTAGAGAAGTTTATTTTTCGCCTGTTTCATAAAGCATTTTAAAACAAAGCCTGCAGAGCTAAAATGCAAAACCAGGAAAGTTTTAAGGCATATATCCTTAGTTGAATGAATTCTTAATCATAGCTCAGATGAGTCTGGCATGTTCCTAAAGGTAGTAAAAAAATTCAGCCTTTGACCTTTGCCCTTCCAGCACCTAAAAAGATTCAGTCCTGGAACTTGTACAATATGCCAACACTGCAGGAGCAAAATTGCACCATCCAGCTGATGGGAGAGTCATTGTAACCTTCATCCTTTCCAAGCCATACACCTTTACCTTTTCTGCTCCAGCCTTCAAATTCTCCTCAGCCACTTCTTTTGAGTCAACTCCGGGCCTGGGTTCTCATTTAGTTACTCAAAAAGTCTTTCTATAGAAACACAACTAGCAAATGATTCTTTCAAGAAGGTCCTTGAAGATTCTCTCAAGAAGGCCTTCAGCTCCTGCTGAGCTTCTACATATAACACACAGTTTAAAATAATCTGGTAGTGGACTGGAAAAAGAGCTGTTTTTCAGGGAAAGTGTACATGTTTTTTTTTAAATAGTATCTGTACAATGTTTTGTTGTATCAAATGGCTCACTGAAAGAGACATCATCAAGGACCACTAGTGACCACTGTGTCAGTTTTGCTGCCTGTAAATAATGCTGCAACACAATGCAGACAAAGGGTATATTTTCAATGCCTGACGTTAAATAGAATGCTTGAAATCAAGATTTCACTCATTAAAAGTTCTTTTCAACTAATAAAGAGATTTTGATGAACTATTTCGTAGAGCCCTGTCAGTCTGGAATGAGGAAATTAGCCTTCACCAATACTAAAAGTTAAAAGTACACCAAATATCATTGTTTGATAGCCTTGGAGTTTAGGATGGTTTTACAGCACCAAAATGAAGATATAAGTAACCATACCAGAAAACAAAGTGGAAATTTCTCAATACTCAGTTGAGCTGTATACTTGTACTCCATGTAACGTAAGTACATATTCTCTTGTTATGTACAAAATTGCTGATATATTACATTATGTCTTTAACTTTACAATACCATTAATTTCTCTGTTTGTTTTGCCATTCAAGTTCCAATGAAATTAAAAATATAAACAAAGATCTGATCTATAAACAGTGTGTATTATCAGCGTTCTTCATATCACAAAATCTGCCAAATGTAAAAGACCCCTTCAAAATCAAAGTCCTGATTTTTAAAATAATTTCCTACACTGTACTGTCCTATCAGATAACAACCTGCAAGCATGGGAAACTAAGGTCACTCCTGACATGGATTTAAGGGTGCTGTATTTGCCTCTGTGCGAGAAGGGTAATTTCAATCCAGTGAGGAAATTTATAGGCAGGCACAGTACCCACAATTGCCTAAGCACTCATTTATGATCAGTTATTTTTGCAGCTGCTTAGCAGACATTTTTACCTTTTGGGAGTCTACATTCTTAGCTTTTAGTACTGTTCTTTACACTGCCTGGTATTCACAAGGGAAGAACTTTGGGAAAAATCTGAAAGGGAGATTATAAATACACATCTTGAGAAACAGAAAATACAGCCTTTGTGTAAAGAAACAGATACATTTAAATGGAAAGAGAATGAGGGTACCTGAGTAAATTAAAACTAGCAGTAAAATGTGAACTACAGCTACAGTGAAAATCATGACATCAGAATAACCTTCTTTTCCAAACGTATTTTACCATTGATGTATTGAGCTAGTTAAATATCAGGCATGTGGAGAAATCTCTACAGGCATTTTCATCCACACATGCTTGTGTTTGCTACTGGAAGTAGGTATTAATACTATGCAATACCCAGAACCACTGTGGAAGAGTAGCTTGCCTCTTAGTGAATCAAATAATGCCAGTAAGTCCTCAGTGTTATTTTATTGCTATCCATAATCAAAGTAAGAAACCACTGGAGATGCCAGGTTCACACTCCTGACACTTCTAAAGATTTTCCACCTTTTAAATTGTAGAGAAAGTGCTGGTTTGACAAAGTGTTTCCATACAACACTAAAAAAATACTTTCTTTGAACTAGCAAACTTTTCAAGTGAAGACTGTAATTTCTTGGTTAATAACTGTTTATAGAAAAAAAATGGAAAATACTGATGAATATTCTTCAAAGCAGCTTGTGCAAGTTTTTTGTTTTGTAACTGGCCCATAAAGTGCAACTTTGTGTTGTTCTTTTTAGGTTTTCTTTTAAAGAAGAAATGACAGACTTCTAAACTTAAACACCAAGAAAAATGAAGGAATGAGATGAGAAATTAGCTTAGGGACTAATTAACTTAAAGACTGCACAATAAACAGCAGTGAAGAACAAGTTCCTTGAACTGAGCCTTAAAAGATGTTTTTTATATGTATTTTTCTCTGCTGCCATACATGCTTGGAAGATGCAGGAAGAAAAATACCTCAAAAAGTCACAACCTTCTTCTTCTCCCCTTCTACAAAGCTATTTTTTCTATCATCCTTACCAGAACACAGAAAACTGAGTTAGTACAGGATGGATATACTAAAAGATAAAACAATCTGTGAGCTGACAAGATGCAAAAGAGTAGACCTTACAAATGGTGTACTGCCAGGTGATGTCAAGAAGCATCAGGAATTCTGGTGATTTTTTTTTAAACCAGAAAGATTATTTTAAACCTGAGGCACAACACCAGTTCAGTGTTTGGTAAGGCATCTCTGAAATATACCAGAGAGAGTGCTTCAAGCCTTTTGTAAAGGAACAGTCCACAAGGAAAGATGGAGAAAACTGCATCCTTAGAAAGCTTACCAGGGCGTTAATATGATTAACGCTGCGTAGACTGAATACAAATATAACCTTTATTTTTAAAGTACTGTGCAGATTAGCCTTTTCTTTTTTGGTAACATTTGTGCAGTGATTTTATCAATGCAGAAGGATCCTTTAGCAGTGTTGCCAGTATAGGCTCTTCCTACTTGCTTTGCATACTACCAAGATCAGGGGTGCTTTAGTAGAAAGCTTTGTGCATTATGTGCCTCTGTTTCCTTCACATCCATTTCTTTGTGTGCTCAGGCTTGTTTTGCAATGTTACACAAATCCTTATAAGAAATTGAATTTTTAAGTTCAGTTGTTTCCTATTTTTTTTTAAAGAAGCCTGAAAACTCTGTAAAAATCCTAATAAAGTATATTAAAAATGTACAGCTACATTAATGTACATGTGCGACAAACTTATCACTATTTTAATCATCTGGTCTAGTAAGCAGAGCAACTAAGCTGGTCACATGGCAGCAAAACCTTACTTACATTAAGGAAGGATGGCATGCTGATTGTGTGCAAGATTTTCTTGAACGTGCTCGGAAAAGCCCCAAGGTCTGTTTCTGCCTTTGTGACCCGTTCTTCCAGTCGAGCTACGCTATTCCCAATCATTTTCACAAAAGCCTGGTGTAAAAAAAAACCAAAAAAAAGCCCCAAATAAATATTAGTTTCCCTATCAAAATAAAACAGGATTACGTATTGCAAAACAGTGGTGAAAGATCCATTACTTAAATGAGTTGTCAAAAACTTCATGCTCAGTTTCCCTTCTGCCTACAAGTCCATTTTAATGCTAGAAATTACTTGAGATACTTAAAAGGCTGAAAACCAGGTTAAACATAATAAAATAATCTTCCTTTTCAAATTTACCTTTTAAATAACTAACTTGGATTTTTCACAATCTAGACCTCTACCTGCCTTTCTACTACCAAAGGAAAAATCAAGGATCTTAACCACAGTTTTAAAGCTTTATTAGGGATGAAGAGATCTCTCATTCTATTTGTTTCTGAAACTTTGGAAGTTAATACAAAAAGCTGCCTTGCTTCAAACAGTCAATGAACAATTTTTTTTTTTAATATGTTGCAAAAAGATCTAAAACATGTCTGGAATTCCCAGTGTCCCCAGAAATTTTTCATAAATGTAGTCCTCTTTATTAACCCTGAAGTACTGATCCAGCATGAACACGGAGAGCACAACTCACCTGATCTCACTCCACATGTGTGCACATACACACACAAATATGAGACACTGATTTTTCCCTCTGTTAGGAAACATAATGCATCTACAAGACAGCAAATACATACCTCTAGTTTGTCAATCTTCCTATATATCTGCCTCATTTCTGTAGCTTTTGTGTAAATTTGAGGTATACTTTCATTGACAACTTGAGAGGAATCACTTCGAATCTAAAGACAATGCAATACAATAATACAAAAATCAATTAATAAAACAAAATGTTTAGTAGATTTTATTCTGGAAACTAGAACTGTGCCCCAGTGGACAGACTAATATTTAGAGTTTAAAAATACTGGAATAAATTAGTATAAAAACACTAGATTAAAATCAATACACTATAGCTTTTTTGTACAGTTTCTAAGTAACTTTGAAGAAAATGTATTTTACAGAGACTAATATTTATCTTAATACTTATATTAAAAATAGGCTAATACAATCTCTTCTGAAGTGATATGAAACATTTTCTAAGACACAGTAAAGACTTAAATATATTAAGCTAAAATTTTGTCTTAAGTTTTACTACCTGTACTTTTCCTCAGGTTTGTTAAAAAAGTCAGACCACAAAAATCTTAATTTGCTGGTATTAAAAAAACTCCCCAAACCTACAATGGAGTTGTGCAGGAGAAGCACATAGTGATACACTTTAAAAGACAGCCTATCAACCAACGTCAGCTTACAGGAACTTGCCATTCAGTTCTTCCATCTAACCCCATGAGAAAAGTGAAAACAAAAGCGCCTTTCTGAAAAGAGGGTCCCCTAAAGACAAATCTAGTTTTGGTGGTTTGACAACTCTGATTAGATACTTTCATTATAAAACCAACAAAGTACGTCTTTATGTATTTTAAAGAATAAGTGGAATATCCTACTGTTCTTTTAAACAAGAATACAAATACCATTACACAAATATGCAGCTAGGAAAAATTTCTTCACTGGAAATGTTGTCAAGCATTTAAGCAGGCTGTCCAGGGAAGTGGTGGAGGTATTAAGAAGATGTGGCACTTTGGGACATTTTGCTCTGACACGAAAGCTTGGTAGTTTTCATCCATGAGTTATCTGATTATCAAAATAAGTCATCTAATTATCTAACATGTTTTCAAACTGCAGCCTGCCTTGACTAAAGGCTTCTTTCTCTTGGTACCATACTTACAAACACCGATTCAACTGTGTTTACTCTGCCTTCAAAAACACAACCACATGCAACTATACGTACCATATCCAGCATTCCCACGAATTCATCCACCCTGGTCAGTAGGTCTTCCAGACTCTTGTCTAAGCTTTCTATCTGCAAAACAGAGGTCACTTAAGTGCTCGAAAACACACACACCCACATTCACAAAACCCCGGCCGGTCTCACAGACAAGACCACCGAGCAGAGACACAGGTCGGGCTACAGACTGTCCGACAGGAATCCCACGGCTTTTCCCTCTCTCGGCTTCGTTCAGCAAGGGACGCGCCCCCGGTGCTGCCCCTGTCCTGCCCCAGCCCAGGAGCGTGTCCAGCTCCAGAGAGCTGCGCTGCCCCGGCCCTGTGCCCAGGAGCCGTGCGGAGCCCCATCCCCGCTCCCGAGTGCCCGGGAGCCGTGCGGGAGCCGTGCGGAGCCCCGGCCCGGCTCCCGAGTGCCCGGGAGCCGTGCGGAGCCGTGCGGAGCCCCGGCCCCGCTCCCGAGTGCCCGGGAGCCGTGTGCAGCCCTGCGGAGCCCCGGCCCCGCTCCCACCTGCTCGCTGAAGAGGCTGCGGTCGGCGAGCAGGCACGCCGAGTAGGCGGCGGCGGTGGCGCTGAGCGACGCCTCCGAGGCGTCCTCGTCCTCCGCCTCCCCGAGGCCGGAGGCTCTGCTCTGGCTCTGGGACACATTCCCGCTGTCCGCGCCGGGGCCGGCGTCCGGCAGCTCGGCTCCAGCCCGCTCACTGCCGGCACCCTCCGCCATCTCCGCGCCGCCCCTCACATGACGGGGCGGGCCGGCGCAGCCGCGCTCCGGGCGGGCAGGCGGGGCGGCAGCGCCCGTGCCCGGGCAGGGCACCGCCTGGCTGCCTGAGGAAACTCGGGTTCCGCCGCCTCCGAGCCGCCCCTGCCTGCCGCTGTGACGGGAACGGGGCTCCGCCTGCCGAGGATGTGGCCTTTAGCGAGGGCTGGCGTGCCACATACCCTGAGAGCCCCGTTCAGCCCGTGAAACCCGAGCGGCCCAGCCGCGTTCCCACGCGGATTCCTCCCTTACGGCCCGAGCTGGGTAGGAAGCTCGCTGTGTGTGTACCACACAGCTGCACCCACGGTTAAGGGGCACTCACAATAGAAGCTGGGCTCTGTGTGTGTGTGTTCATCCCCACGAAGATGCTGCACAAAATGTTTGCAAGCCGTAAAAGTTACTTCACAAAGTGTTGGGTGCAAGGCTGACACATCAGCAGCCTGGCTGTTCTTTTGTAATAGGTACATGTGTGTGAAACAACTTATGCTTCCTCCCTCCTGCGATGAAGGCGTGGAAAGTTTGGATAGATTGCACTAGAGCGCTTTCTATGGACAGTGACAGCCAGCAGGCAAAGGAGTGCAGAGTGGCCATCAGAGGCATCCTGGCCTTTTCCCATGGAGCCAGAACTACCCCTCAAAGCCCAGAGGTCTGCAGCAGGCCATGCTATGAGGAAGGTAGGAAGCTACTCGGTTCCCATGGAAGTCAGAAGAACAGGAACTTTTTGTAAAAGCAGCACTGAGAAAAGACACTGCACTAAAATAGTTGCATAGCTGAAGAGCCACACAAATTGGACACCTTGTTTTCATAGGGAGGGGAGGTACTTCCATAGAAAATGCTTGAGGCACTGGGAAAAAATACAGAGTAGAAGTAAGACAGTCAACATTTTATTGCAGACAAGGTCACATTTTCATCAGTTAACTAAGGTAAAATGAGCAACTTCAGTCAGACAAATCCACTTATTCATAAAAGTAGTCTTATTTAAGGTATAACACATTTTTCTGGATAAGATGGTCTGATTGACTGAAGCATATCCAGCTATTCATTTGTTTTACTGCACCAATAATCAGATTTATTTTTTTTTTATGAAAACCTTTGGTAAAGTACAAACACAGTTTTAAGAACAGGATCAATGTTCTATTCTTACTGTGCTGGGAAAAATAAGTACAGCTCTATAGCTGCTTTGATACCTAGAAAAGTTTTAATTAGAGTAAGTGAAAGACTTTTAAAATAAACTCTTAAAGCAAATCTAAAAGAAATAAACTAAGTTCAATGTCCCAAAGATATTTAACCATGAGCAGAAGACTGGTTGTTCCACAGGTATTCTAAATTAGTGACAATGAATCAGTCCACACATCCTTTTTCCAGCCATTACAGATTCCAAAATGGAATGTAATTTTTCCAAACCAAGACTCCTGAATTTTCATATTCATAAAATATTTAAGAAATGTCTATTCCACCATATAAAAAAAGCTTTAATGTACTACAAAGTTAAAAACAAAGAGCAAATGACACAAGCTAAAAGTAGAAAAATACATTTTAAAACATTTATATTTTGTTCCTTACACTGATCAAGATATAACAAAATATTTTAGATTAGACCACTTTCATAAAACTCATGGTGTTTCCAGAAGCAGACAGGTACTGACTCAACAGTCACTGGTCACTCACTAGCCACCTGGCCACCCAGCAAAGGTGTCTGACCTCCACAAATATCCAGTATACTTTAACTTTCTAGAAGTCCTGTGTAGACATTAAGCTTTATTATTGGAGGAGTCCAAAAACAACAGAACTATTCTAAGTTACGCTCGTGAGTCAGTCAGCATCCCTCCCCTCTGTAGGGCAATCTCTCGTCAAGGAAAGACCTTGTGGATTCGGGTTGCCCCAAATGTAACAGCAAAGACCAGTGTCAGCTCTGAGGCTTGCACGCCTAAAAACTCACATGAACCATGATTTTGAAAAAACAGAGATGATGCGGGGAGGGGGAAAAAAACAACCAAACAAACAAAAAAAAAGGAGGTATCATCTAATAAATATGGTAAGAGAATACAAGAAGGCAGCGGCGCTGCGGTGCCCCCGCCGGCCGGCAGGTGGCGCCCATGGCCCGGCAGCCGCGGCCACGGCCCGCGGGAAACACGAGGTTTACGTGGCTGTGGATTTCTATCGCTTCCTTTGGAAAATGTGTCTGCAGCGTCTCCCGAACGCTGCTACCTCCGGAATAGGAAACAGCTGCTTTTACAGAGCTCGTCTGGATTAGACATAACGCTGAAAAGACGGTGTAAACAAGTAGGCAGAAGGGCTGTATGTAACAGAAAAAGATAACTATTAAGAAGCACTCTCTCCTCAGCTGGTATTAGAAGAAAACCAGATTCCACTTCAAATAGACATGTCTGTTACTATTAAAATCTAATTCATATATATGCATGTATAAATATGTCTACCCACGCTTTCAAACCCGAGTATATAACACTGCTATGGGTAGCCTGTAAGACTGCTTAGGTTTATACCAACTAAAACAAATTTGCGTTCTCACTTCAGGGCTGGGACATAAACCAGGTTTTGCACTCTAGCTTTCTCCTGACAAATTTTGCAGTGCATGACAGTTTTATGTCTAACTCCAGATGCCACATTTCCTAGAAAGCAACTATTTTCTGCACCCGTGAGGTCTGTGAGAATATCAGCTCCCTGTTTTGTGCATGTGTTGCACGAGTCGATTGTCCCAATTGGCACTTAAGACTGTAAGGAGAATTGCAGAAATTGATACTAAAGTGTAATGACTGTTCCGTCCTCCTCGATACCTCCCCTGGGGATAACCAGACTGTGTCGGGGATCAGTTTTTAAAGAACTTAGTAATTTGTGGATGTTGCCGTTGCTTTCTCGGCCAGAGCTGTTGTTGAGCACCAGGTCCCTTTGAAGTCTGTGGCTAAGGCTGCTGCCATTGATTCTAGAGAGGCTACTGGAAGTAAGGCTGTGCAGTTTAGGAATGTGTTGTGGCTCCAGACCACCCTCAATGACAATGTCAGCCTCTTCGTCACTCTCCATTTCATCAGGGTGGAAGTTCTGCAGCACATGGGGTGTAGGCAAGCTATGGTGACTCGCAGTGCTGTCTGTAGACTGGCCAGAGCTACCAGACATCCTACTGCTCCGAATAATATTGTTCCTCTGGTTTGCTGGCTTGACCGTGATAATGAGATTATGGCTGTTGGCAATCATCATGTCTGTGACTTGGTCAAGAGTCTTTCCTGCTACTTCAATGCCATTGACTTCCAGGACTTCATCATTCACAGCCAGCAAGCCTGTGCTCTCTGCCAAGCCACCAGGAACCATACGGGAGATGAAGATACCAGGAACTTTTTCCAGTCCGTGAGGAGTCACCCTTACACTGGTGCCATCGCGAATGTAAAACCCCAAGGGTTTCTCACACCCGTGTCGATACAGCCTCACTCTCCTGTGTGTTTCGGGGAGAATGTCCACATCAATTATGGAAGACACTGGTCTAAAATCATGAGGCATACTAATGTTGATGTGGGGACGCCGGCGGAGGGTGTCATTGCGCAGTGTCACCAGAGCTTTCTTCTTCCTTGACAGTGTATTGGTCCCGAAATTGCTGTAGTCCACTTCATCTGAAAGACAAACAGTACCAATGTATCAAACAGAATAATTCAATCTGCAGGGCATATTCCTCCTCCAGTTGGTTCAGTGAAGGCACTGATAGCAATATGGAAATAATAATAATAATAATATGAAAAAATAATACTAATATGAGAAAAATCAAATTAATTCTTCCATTTACTTCAATCTTTGTTTCACATTATGTCCAGCTCAACACTTAGAATGAATTAATTGTTTACAATGACTCCCCATACTTCTTCCATGTTTTGGAGAAAAGAGGCTTCTGATTCTCAACTGTTATCAGTTGTGCAGAAGGCAATTTCTAGCTGCAAGCCTACCATCTTGGACATGAGACTGTATTTTCAGAGCTGTATTGTAATCGTACACATAATCTTACCTCTCAAGTGGGCATTCCTAACCTAAAAGTCTGAACTGGGGAGTGTTTTAATACCCAATAGAGTGCCTTAACCTTAGAAACAAACATGAAAGCAAGAGTGCAAGAGAGTAGTTAGATATGTTTTCAGCCTAGGCCTTTCTAGTAAGGGAGTTTTGTTAATATGCATCTCTTGGTACCTCACTTTTCTCTCTGGTATTTTACTTCAGTTCAGCTGAACTTGACAGCAATAGAAAGTGCTAAAAGAGCCATATAACAAAAGGTAGTATGTAAGCAAGCAGCCTGGCAGAAAGAGAAGCAGGTAGAAGGAAAGTCCTCTGCTTAGTCTGTATGCTAAAGATCACAGAAAGTACATGGATTCACACCCACACTCCTGCCTTGAGACCAAGATTCACAGGAAAATGCCTTTCTGGGGTCTGCAGTTTAAGGAATTGTTTAAATATTTCAGCCTCTGTAGCAGTTATCTCAAGGGCATATGAAAAGTGATCACCTTTAATTCATCCAAGTAAACTAAGTTATTCCACATAAGAAGTTCATGTTGTACTTTGCAAAAAAAAATACTAAGTCATGAAGTTGTTAGTGTATAAATTGTGTCACTGCATCTCACAATAAAAATGTGCATATTTTAGATGTGAGCCATGCACTAGCTGGAAAGTTATTTCACCAGGAGTTTAAGCACAATTTTCAGATAAACTAACATATTTGCAGTTTATTCTCCTGTTGAAGACAAGCAGTACCATACAAAGTACAACTACAGAACTGCCCCTAAAATTGCTTCTCTGACAAATTAACCTTGCCTAGCAGTGTTTGAAAGAGTAAGACAATACCTGATGAAGGCTGGAGGAGGGAAAAGGTTGTTAGTAAAAACAAGCTTGAAATTGCATTTTTATGTCTTGCAAGGTTTAATTTTCAAGTCCACTTTCAAGATGTATCATTGACAGACTTCAATCAAGTGACATTAAGTTACACTAATTAGAGGACACTAAAAAA